TTATCTAATGATACTTGTAAGAATATCCCAATTAGAAGATCTAAATTCAATTTTATTGTTCCCTTTCCTTCTTCCTCCATGATCTTATTGCATAAATAACAACTATTAAAAAATTACTCTACTGAAAAAAAAATTGGTGGTCATTCTCACAGATATTTTGATCGAATTGGTGTAGCAAAGAAAAGTAAATGTTTCATAAGGTAAAACTAGTAACTTTCTCAATGTTTCATTGAAAATGTTTTTCACCAAACATTTTTCTCTGTGAGCTGATTTAATGGGAAAGGAATGGAAACATCATGTTCTATAGCACAAATTTTCTATTGATTCACGGTCGAAAAAAACTTAATTTCTAGTAGTGAAAAGAAAAAAAAACCACTCACCTAAGTTAGCAAACCAATATATAGAATATTCAATTGGGATATCATATAGGTGACCAAAATTACATGATTTTTTAATTTCGTTTATTTTTGTGTAATGCAGGTAGCCTTGAACTACCTATTAGGGAATTTGGGTAAAAAAATATGAAAGAATAGTAGCTACAATTGATCTAGGAGGTGAATCAGTGCAAATGACATATGCCATCTCAAAAGGAAGTGCTTTAAAGGCTCCCAAAGTACCAAATGGAGAGCCATATGTCCTTAATAAATCTCTTTTGGGAACTAATTATGACATCTATGTTCACAGGTAACCTAGTAAATTGATATTTATAACTAGTCTTTTTTTTTTTGATATATATTTTATGTGCTGTCAAATTAATCAATAGTGTGTAACAGCTATTTAAGCTATGGTCAATTAGCAGCTAGAACTGAGATTTTCAAAGCTTCTGGGAACTCATCAAGTAGTCCATGTATTTTGGGAGGTTATAGTGGTAAGATTAGTGCTCTCTAATCCCTTAATTGTTAGTAGAACTTCTATTACTGTTTGTAATATTTTAGCTCACTTTGGGAAACTCTTTGCTCTTTAGAGAGTATTTTTTTGTGTGCGTGTATAATGACTTACTCCCTCCGTCCTATTTTATATGTCATCCTTTTCTATATATAGTTGATTCATATATAATACTTGTCATTTCTTAAAATCAATGCATAGATTACCATATTGTTCCGTTTTTACCCTGGTGAGTTATTAGCCTTGAAAATATACATTTGACCAACTTAGAAAAACTAAGTAAATGATTCATGTTCATTGGTTAAATTAATTAATCAAAATTAATTAATTTATATTCATTGATTGAAAACTTGAGTTCCAAAAAAATTAAATAAGGGTAGAAGGGCAAAGTTACATCATTTCTTAATGCAACTGCAAAGTAAAAAGGTGACATATAAAATGGGACGGAGGGAGTATCTTATTAGTTGTTAATGTTTGTTATACTACTTTAATAAATTATGATTTGGTTAATTACACTTACAATGGAGTGGATTACAAAGCATCATCACCAAAACAAGGTTCAAGCTTGAAGAAATGTAGCACATTAGCTAAAAAAGCACTCAAAATTAAGGCACCATGCAAGCATAAAAAATGTACATTTGGTGGGATTTGGATGGTGGAGGTGAACAAGGATTCAAAAATCTCTATGCTTCTTCTTTCTTTTATGACTATGCAGCTATGGTACCTACATTATTGTCTAATTTGTTAATTTCTTTTTCAAAAAATAAGATTGTATTTTTTGTTAATTGTGCATTTGTGTACAGGTTGGTATAATTGACCCCAAAAAGCCTTCTGGAAGACACTACTAAAAAAAAAGGTGAATATTGACCTACAAATACCGACCTCCGAAGGTCGGTATACAAACCTAAAACCGACATCCCAACTTAGGTCGGAAAAAGCTTGGTCGCTATTCAATACCGACCTCTGGAGGTCGGTATTTACTGACCTCTCGAGGTCAGTTTTTATTTTATGTCGGAAAATTCATATATTATTATTTCCGACTTCCTGAGGTCAGAATTGGAATACCGACATCCGGAGGTCGGTATTTTAATTTTGTAATGTTGAAATTCTGACCTCCGGAGGTCGGTTATTTTTATTTTGTAATGTTAGAAATTCTGACCTCCGAAGGTCGGTATTTTTATTTTTGTAATATTGACATTCTGACCTCTGGAGGTTGGTATTTTTAATTCTGTATTTTTAAAATTCCGACCTCCGGAGGTCGGTATTTTTATTTTT